CAGTTAGAAGTAATTATCGAGGCTCGGTAACCTCGGTAACGTTATAGCATGAGCAGAGAACGCATAACGATGTCGTTGCTTCCGTCTACTTCATCTATATACCTATGCCTCTGGTATTTCGAGTTTCAACTGACGATAGAGGGGAATGTGATAGGTGAGCGCACTTGAGAATCGTTTAGGAGGGTAATGAAAAGACCGCCGTCGGATATGAGGGAGAGTAATTGCACGAGAGTAACTTCCTTTTTCTCTATCTCTTTCTCTTTCTTTCCCTCTTTCCCACATACTTTTTTTCTATCTTTCTTCATCCTTCTATACCTTCCTCTTTTAAATCTACAACTTTACGTTACACAACACGAAAACAGTCTTCTTCCATTTTATTCTTGGAATTTTTGGTATCTCGTAATAAACAATTTTCTCCTCGTTATTCTCTCAAATCTTTGTCTATCTCTTTTAAATTTCATTTTTTTTAATTTCTTTTCTTTACTTTTCTATTCATTACTTTTCTTTTCTTTCCTTTTATTTTTTTTTATTTTTTCATCAATGAATGTTCTCGTTAAAACACGAAAAGAAATTTCCGGAGGCATCGTATATAAAGGAATTACCGAGGACATTAATGATCGGTGATAAAATGAGGAAAGTTTTTGGAGCTCGATCGATCGATCTATGTGAATGGAAAGTATCTGAGAGAAAGCGTAAGAACAACGAAGAATAAGAAAGGGAGATAGGAGACAATCTAAGCGCAATACTAACTCGAACATCATTGTTCCCGTTGATTCTGATCGTAAGCTCGAAAATTCGATATCGTTGTTAACTTTTCGCGATTTTCTCTTAGCTAGGACAAACCAGGTGGGTAAAGTTTTCAAATTTCAAATATTTTATCGAAAATTTAAAATATAGGAAAGGAAAGTTCGTAACCGAATCTCTCTCTCTTTGAATTCTCTCTTCTGCCGTTTTCATCTTTTTCGTTATTGTCGACGTTTAGTTTGGATTATCGACGAATTTTTGAGGTGGTTACAATAGACGATTGGAAATTCAATATCAAGAAAAAAGATCTCAATCTCTCTGCCTCCTCCCCCCCTTCCCATTTGGATGATCGAACGAATCGTTTATCCGACGACAAATAGTCCGTTACGTTGCGAGACAGTTGTAGATACGATCTATAATATTGTGATCGTATTGGCACGCTTTCGAAAGAAAGAAAGTATGATAGAAAGAGAGAGAGAGAGAGAAAAAGCCATAAAATCTGGACAGATAGATCAAAATTGTACAAAAGGCGAACGTTCCTTTGAAATCCTAACGGCCTTACGAACCTGATGGACTTTCATAGCTAAACGATAATACCGGTGAGCGTATAAAGATACGATTTTCTTGGGCTAAAAGAGACCATGCGAAGAAGACGTTTTATACTTTCAAATCGCATGAGTCCGAGAATACGAAATCGAAAAAAAGCTTTCTATTTATTTTCTTTTTCCCCTCGTCATCCCCCTACCATTTCTTTAACGTGACTCTCGTGCAAAAAAATAGAAAGAGAAAAAACGAAACTAGAGAAGGAGAAAAAAATAAAAAGAGAAAAGATAGAGTAAATGGTCAGCAAGAACGGTGGCTATATTTCTAGAGCTTCCTTTCAACGAGTCCTCGTTCCCTTCGATATAAAGACTAAGAAGGAAAGAGAGAAAAAGATAGAAGACTAACAGCGGGAGAGTTTGGTCAATGCTCGCGAAAATTGGCTTCTAAATCTTGCGGCTGGAATGAGAGCCCACGAACCCCAACATCACCACCACTTCTCGACCCTTTCCCTCCGTTAGGTCCACCAAACTTTCACCGGCAAGGTAATGGGAATGAGAAACTGTTGGCTTGGTTCGAACGGATACCTTCCTAGGAGCACCGAAGAAGGCCAAGGTAGGAAGAGGAACAAGAGATGGAGATGAAAACGGAGATGGGGTAAGGGTGGAGGTAAGGCCATTGTCAACGACGTGGGGGCTTACAAACCCCACGAAAATCCGCGAGGCAACTTTACGGAACGAGCTTCCATAAGTTGCATTCAATGGGACATCGGTATAAAGAGGGAATAAAATGAAGAGGGGAAGACTCTGTGGAGCAGTCGCATTGTTGTTACTCCTCCTCCTTTTCCTCCACTTTCTTTTCTTTCATCTCCACGACATTATCTTTGTCTTTACCACAACTCTACTACTACTTCACGTATTTTACTTCTTCTTCTTCTTCTCTTTGCTTGTGTATTCTTCAAGAAAATACTAGTCTTACTTGTTCTACCCCTTCTTAACACAATTATCTTCCTTTTTGTCTCTGTACTTAAAGAATCCGACCACTTACGAGTCTTCCTTCCTATTTACTAAAGCTGATACCATTTTCATTTTCTTACTTACTCCTTGTTGAATATTCAATTTTAATTTTTGCTTAATGTTTGTGAATTTTAATATTTACTAAAAAATATATATATTCAGTTTCGTTGACCAATTTTTTGTAAAATTTTAGGAGACAAATCAACATTAACATATTAACTGTATCAGAAATTTGTTTTAATAATGTTCTTCCGACTTATTTTTGTTTTCATTCCTTTCTTTCATTCTTTCAGTTCTTATTTTTGAAAGTGACTTAAATTAGAACAAGTTGACGTAGAACACCTCGACTGCCTCGTGGCGGTTTACCGAGATCGTTATTTCCACAATATTAGCTACTGGTTGTTATGTTATACTACTCTTTGGTATAATCGTCCCTATCCATCTCGCACGAGTCTCCCGCGCATTCGTTCCCACCTCTTTTACCATTTTAATTAAGAATTTGCTTTGTAGATTTGACTCGGTTGAAAGAAGCCTTCAAGGCTTCTGAGCGCAACGTCAGCTTGATTATAGTGTATATCTCTAATACCAATACAAACTAAGAAATAGCTATTAGAGTTACAGACTCGTCAAAATGTTCGTCTAGAAATGTCTACAGAAAAAAAGAAAAGAAAAGAAAACAAAAAAAATGTGTGCAGATCACCCGTGTTAGAAATGAAACCTTCAAAAATCTAAGTTTTGAGAGAATGAGACGAATGCACAGTTTCAAGAGTAAGATAATTGTAGGATTCATTTATTATAATATTATTACCATATATAATAAAGGTAATCGGTATGGTCTGTGTGTGGAAAAGCTGATAAAAAGTACACTTTTCCAAATTCAAGCAATAAAAACGGAATGCTGAATGCGATAGTTATAAATAGACACCAAAATCGTAGGATGTTTATCAAAGGAAATATATAATTCGTCAGAAATTAAGTAAATATAAATAATCCTGGGTACCGGGCAACCCCCATTGTATCTTGCCTTATCACCGCAACAGGCTCTGTGGTGACGGACCGCTTATTTCCTGACTACTTGTGAGACTCTTATGGATTCCGACAAAACTACTTAAACAAAAACACAAGCTGGCGTGGGGACTTCGCAAGAGGAACCCACTCCAGTCGCCATAAATTTGATCTCGAGCGCTGGGGATGAGGGATCGGCGAAAGCCGGACCCACGGACTCATCGCCCAATACAACAAAGAAGAAGAAAAACAGGAGCGGGGCTGCGAAGAAAAAGGCACGCAAAGCCAGATTGGCTTTGCAAGGCCAAACCCCCAAGCCGCACAGCGAGGATAAGGAAAAGGGGGCAGCCGATGGTCAGGGCCCTACCAAAAGGCCCAGACCTTCGGACGGCACCCCGCCGGTAAGGTCTCCGGTAAACAAGAAGAGTAGGATCGCCACAAGTCCTACCAATTATGCAGATGCTGTGGCTGGGGATATGAGGCTGGCCGTGGCGCCGGTTGATTTTCCCGAAGTGATATTCGGCCAGGAGCAGGGTGTACCACTAGTGCGGGCACTCCTTAAGGCGCTGGACTCGATCCCAACGGATCAGGTAGTCTCGTACTTCGAGAGGACCCGTTATGAGCAGGGAGTTCTTTGGATAACCTGCTCGGACGACAAGGCGAAGGCATGGCTTCAAGCCATTGTCCCGAGCCTTAAACCATGGGAGGGAGCTCAACTCCAGGTGCTGGAGAGGGAATACCTCCCAAAGCTGAAGAGGATGACGGCGGTGTTCCCCGACACGGACGAAGACATGCCGACCATCTTCAAGAGACTCCAGAGGCAGAACCCGGGACTCTTAACCTCCCTGTGGAGGGTGTGGGACCGAAGGGCTGTCCAGGACAAGGTCCACGCGGTATTAGGTGTGGATGCGGCCTCCTTAAACCAATTGAAGAAGCGGGAGCTCGCCCCTCACTTCGGTCTGGGCAGGGCCCGTTTTTACGAGGCCCCGGTCGGAGCGGAGGCGAGAGGGTGAGCACCTGCTCCTGGGGAAACCAGGAGTGATCCAGGAGCGGACGCGCAGCGGAGGGGTCCGGCGGAGTCGACTGCGACTACGGGGACCACTGCTGCGCAGAAAGTCGTCCCCAAGCTGACGCCTAAGGAGCGGGAACCTGCCAACGCGTCACAAGCGCCTACTGACGCAAAGGATGCGGGGGCAAAGGCTCAAAATACGGAGGGCGGGACGAAGGCCAGAGGTAGACCACCCAAGGCCATCGCCCTGGTCAAGACGACCCGTGAGGAGACCCGGCGTGGTGTCCAACGGACTATTGCTTGGTCCCTAACGGGGCCGTCCACAACGCCCCAGGGGACCATAGAGGCCCCGAAGGCAGTTGGGAGACAGGGGATCGAGGACGATGGCCGGTAGCGTGACCTGTTGTCTTCTTCCCCATTCCACACCCCCTCCTGTACCTATCCCCTCCTCCTCTCCCTTTCCCTCCCCCTCCCCTTCCCTCTCCCTAAACCAAAACAGAGGGAAAGGGGCGCACACGCCACCACTTAGGGGGGTAGCGTGCCTCCAACTCTCTCAAATCAATCTGCAACACTGCATAGCGGCCTCGGGTGTTCTCAGCCAGAACCTAGCAGTGGAGCAGACAGACATATCCCTCATACAGGAACCCTGGATCTATGGGGGACTTGTTAAAGGGATCGATCACAGCATGGGAACATTGGTTTATGATCCATGCGAACCCGGCCCAAGGGCGTGTGTCTTTGTTTCCAAAAGGCACCACGCCCTGAAGCTAAGCAGATTCTGTAGCAGGGACCTTGCGGTGGCCTCGGTTAGGTTAAGGTTGGGAGGTGGGCTGACCGACGTTATCGTTTGCTCAGCATACTTCCCCTACGACTCGGCCGAACATCCGCCTACAGAGGAACTGAGGGCCGTAGTGGAACACTGCCGCAGAGAAGGGCTGGACCTTGTGATCGGGTGCGACGCTAACTCGCACCACGCATATGGGAGCTCAAATACAAATATGAGAGGGACAGCTTTGCTGGAATACCTCTCGTCGTCGAATCTGGAGATCCTCAACAAGGGATCCAGACCAACCTTCGTCACCTCGAGGAGACAAGAGGTGATTGACTTAACACTGGGCACCCCCAGGTTGGCTCGGTGGCTGGAGGAGTGGCGAGTGGACGATGAGGATTCACTCTCGGATCACCGCCGCATCCTCTTCAAGCTCAGGACTGAGACGGCACAGCCCGTTATCAGGACCTACCGCGACTCAAGGGCCACTGACTGGGCTCTCTACAAGAGGGACCTAGAAGGCAGGCTCTGGGGTATAAGCGGAGGGCTAAGAACTGAGGGCCTGATTGAGGAACGGGTGAGCCTACTCTCCTCTTTCGTCACTCAGGCCTTCGAAGCTGCTTGCCCTCTTAGGACACGGGGGGGGGCAGGACTAGAGTGGCAAGGCGGAGCAAGGAGTTGAGCTCACTGCGCTCGAGTTCTCGCCGCCTCCTAAATAGAGCCTCAAAATCAAATGGCTCTGAAGACTGGGCTAATTATAGGAACGAGCAGAGGGCCTATAAGAAGCTCATCAAGAAATCCAAATGCGAGGCCTGGGGGGAAATTCTGCTCTGAAGTTGAGGCCCTTCCTTTGGTGGCCAACCTTCACAGAGTCCTCGCAAATGGACCGCAACCAAGCCTCGGTGGACTCTCTCTCCCGAATGGGGAGCAGCTTGAGAAACACGAGGACATCCTTGCCCACCTATTGAAGGTACACTTCCCGGGATTCGGCCAGGTCGAGCATAACCCCCTGACCCAGGAGGAGCTCCGCGTCACGAGACCCGGTGACTGGACCACTGCTGCTGCAGTGGTAACGTACGACAGGATTCGCTGGGCTCTGGACTCGTTCGGCGGTACAAGAGCTCGGGGGCTGACGGGCTCTTCCCCGCTCTTCTTCAGAATGGAGGGGAGGGGCTAGTCAAGCATCTGATCCGTGTCTTCAGAGCGTGTCTCGCCTTGAGATACGTACCTAAGCCATGGCGAGAGGTCAAAATAGTCTTTATCCCAAAAACGGGAAAGGACAGATATGACCAAGCCAAGGCTTTTAGGCCTATCAGCTTGACGTCTTTTCTACTAAAAACGCTGGAAAGACTCGTTGATAGGTTCATAAGGGATGGAGCGCTAGCGAGGACGCCGGTGCAGCCATCACAGCACGCTTATCAAGCAGGTAAGTCTGCCGAGACGGCTCTTCATGTCCTCGTTCGCGAGATAGAAGGTGCCCTCGACAGGAAAGAAGCAACGTTATGTGTCTTCTTAGACGTCGAGGGGGCGTTTGATAACACTTCCTTCGAAGCTATATGCGGAGCAGCCAGGGATTTCCACATCGACGGCACTGTCGTCCAGTGGATGGACTTCATGCTCCGCTCACGTATCATCACTGCTAGTCTCAGCGGGACGGACATCAGGGCGCACGTCGGCAGAGGGTGCCCTCAGGGTGGAGTTACCTCCCCACTGATGTGGCTCATGGTTGTCGATGGGCTCCTAAGCAGGCTCGGGGAGCTAGAGGTTAAAACGGTTGGGTTTGCCGATGACATCTGTAGGGAAAAC